GATGTTGACTTACGGTGCATAATCCTTGAAGCAATCGAAGCGCGACGTGCGACGGTCCGCGCCAGGCCGCAGGCACTAACAGAGACGCTAAACAGGCGCTAAGGAACCGCCCGTGAGAACACCATGGAGAGTGTCCGGATCGGTCCCACACACAGGCAACCTCCCAATATCGGCCCAGCAACCTGTTCCCATAAGAACGCCTTGCGCATAATCGACTCTGCTCGCTCCTCCTGCAGTAGCTATTGTTCAAAACGTATATCGATAAATATCGCTGACATTTCACGATGATAAAATGTATTTTCTCTGTTATTTCTTAGTGTCAAAATAAAAATTAAATTAAATTCGTGAACTTTGATATATCTGACACTTATACTTCAGGCTATTTGTTGACAAGAAACTGATATTCAAATTAATAACAAGAATATATAAGGCCTTACGAGCCATCCGCATGATGTTTGAGCGGAAACTGTACGTGTATATATATACATACACATGTAACGAATTCAACTTGTAAATTTTTACAAGTGAGAGTTTTTTGAGTTGAAAACTCAATTCTTAAAATCATACGGGATGCTAGATTTGCATCTCACATATGACAGACCCCCCTAACTAATTTTAAAATATTGCGAATTTATGTAAGAATTGAGTTTTCAATTCAAAAAACACTTACTTGTAAAAATTTACAAGTTGAATTCGTTACATGTGTGTGTATATATATATATATATATATATACACGCACAGTTTCTGCTCAAACATCCTGCGAATGGCTCGAATAAGGCCTTATATATTTCTTGTTATTAATTTCAACGAGCCTTAAGTCATAATTGTTCATAATAATATTATTTTATTTAAGTTTAAATATTGTTGAAATTTGGAATTTAGAGATATATTTTCTACTCTTAGTTGTTTCCAAAATAGATCTTAGTAATTAGGTTCAGTGGTCTCGTGGTCTGAATGCAGAATTTATGAACATGGAGATCCTGATGCGAGTTCGAATCCACCTTACCACTTTAGAATTTTTATTTTTATATCTATTTGTTATAATCTTTTTCTTCTTACTTATGCGCTGTTTACCCTATTCTTTTATTTCTGATAAAATGCATTTTTAGTTTGCTTTAATTTTTTAAACAGCCCGCATATAACAACACACAATGTTCTCGAGTACATTGTTGTCATCAATGACAGATGTGACAGACGTGTCTTTTAGTATCCGCAAAAGTTTCTTTTCTAAAGCATCTTGCACAATGGAAGGAATAGCGATAGCGATATAGAAATATAACACCAGATTTTAAGAATTTATATTTATAAATAACAGCAGGAACAGCAGAATGTAACATACAAAAATACACATGTATTAATGCAGATCAAAAAACGGAATAATTAATAGCGATAAAATTTCTGACAAGTTAGAATTCTGTGTCTATTGCTTATCGCTATCACTATTCCCTCGCATTGTGCAAGAGGCTTAAGAGAATACTGGACACCGACTATAGAGACCTGTAAATCGACGTTTTAATATTTCGTTTTGTGCCGTATTTACTGCATCAAATCCAAAATGCTTCTACAGAAATAAGTAAATTATGCTAAGAGTTTGCTGTTGTTCTTTAGAATGTCAAAATTCAGCATAAANTTTTTCTTATACAGTTTTCTTCTATAACCTCACCATATATTCATGTATATAAAATTATTTCTAAGCTTATATACGTATTTACACTGAATTACAGCAATAAGTACGACAAAAAAGAATCCAATGAGATACTCAGATTATGATTGGAATGTGTAGTTGACGAGAAAAAGCGATTCTCGTGATGACAGTATAGGTTATCACATACTATCTTTGTAAATAAAAAAAAAAAAACATTATATACCCATTTTCAAGAGCACCTAAGGCCTGTTCTACAATAAAGTCGTAAAGCTGTAAGACGTTAGAAATTGACCAATCTTCATCGATTATTTCTTCTATAATTGATGTGTAATTGGTCAATTTCTTACGACTTACAGCTTACGACATTTTTTTTTTTACTGGGTATTTTACGTGCTTTCAGCTAATCTAGGCTATTAACACCTTGACGCCGGGGAACGCATATATGCGTCATTTAGATTTTTCACAAAAATAAGTAGATAAAACGCTATAGATTTCAATTTCTCTTCAGAAACGTTACAACAGATGTTTTACGAGTTAGAATAACTGAATATGTTTTANTTTTCTTGTTTTATTTTGTAATGATATCCACATTGAAACCTTGTATATGTTAAAGCNATAAGATACAACTTCAACGCCTTGTTCTGCTGCCGANACTTGAACTGTGATTATGTAAAAGCAAAATAAAATAAGAATTCAACGTTTTGCCACATACAATGTTATGTATGTTTATGCTAGAGCAATAAATAAGCACACCTTTCAGTCTTCT